TAAAAGTTTTATCTAAATTGGATAACCTTTTATAAATACATTTTTGTATATTACGTTTGACAAATTTTTACTTAATAATATAGATCAATTTACTTAGTAAAATTATAGCTTTACTATAGAGTAACTACTGGTGATTATATAAATAGCTTATTTTTAGACCTAAAAAATTTTTGTTTTTCTTCTAAAAAAAGTAAATAGCTTATTATTGGAGGTAGATTATTTTGACAACATATAATTTATATATAATTCATTGAACTTGAACATGTTCATGAACTTTAACTGAACTTGAACTGAACCAAAACTTTAAGTTTAGGTTCAGTTCAAGTTCATAAATTTAAAGTTTAGTTCAGGTTCAGGTTTAAAGATCTGCAAAATTTAAAGTTCAGTTTAGATTCCATTGAACTTGAACCTAAACCTAAATTGAACTGAACTTCAGAACACTAATATCAGCTGCTTTTGGGAGAAGTTAGATATACTATATTCATCTTCTATCATTTTTGATAATATATCTGCATTATTATGTGCCTGTCCTGCCCGGTGGATAATTGTAAAGTTATAAAACTAGAGCTGTAGGATCTAACAAGTCCTTTTGTCCTTTAATATACTAGTTTGAAGCCATTTTAGAGCCAAATAATCAGTGATGATAATGAAAGGCTTGTAACTGGATAATGGTAGAAATATTTAACCACTTAAACTATTCTAATTCAGTAGTCTAATAATTTTTTTCGGTCAGGTTAGACTTTTCTCACGTAAACAATAATGTATTTCCTTTTATTATTATCATTTTGTGCTAGCACTATACCAAGACCAACACCCGAGATGTTTGTGTGAAGATAAAATATTTTTTAAAGTCAGGATACCTAAGAATTTGTGCTGTTGTGAGGTAGGTTTTTAATTTATTAAAAGATTGCTCTTGTTTATTCTTCTACTCATATCTAATTTTCTTTTCTAATAATTTATGTAATGGCTTAGCGATTGTGGCAAAATTCTTAATAAAATATCGATAATAAGAAGCAAGACCAATAAAACCTCTTAATTGCTATAGGTTCGTTGGAATTAGGAATTTCTTGACTAAACTACCTTATTTTCATTGGGCCTGATCACTTCTTTTCCTACTATGTGCTCTAAAAAAATAATATTATTCTTGAAAAGGTCATACTTTTTAGAATTTAAGTTTAACCCGATTGCCTTTATTTTGAAAAGTATATTTGAAAAATGGACTAAGTGATTATAGTAAATTGTAGAATAAATTATTATATTATCTTAATAGAGAGCCACATATTATCTAATATATTTGTATAAGAGGTGGTTCATGGCCCTTTGGAATGTTGCTAGACATTACATAATCCAAAGGATATTATATTAAAAGTATAAATACCCTGTTTGGTTATAAATATAGTCTTTTTATGGTATTCTTTTTTCATCTCTATCTGCCAGTATCCATTGGCTAAATCAAGAGAAGAAAACTATTTGGCCTTTCTAAATATTTCTAGTAAATTGTTGATGCAGGGTAAGATAAATATATTCTTCTTTGTGATAGCGTTTAGCCTTCTATAATTGATATATAATCTGAGCTTTCTATTTTTTTAGGGATAATAACAATCAGCAAAGCTCAAGGACTTTTAATTTTACTAATTAACTTGTTGTTTAACAATTTTTCTATTTCTTTATTTAAAAAGTCTTGTTTATTTGGCAAAGCCTGATAAGCTGATTGTTTAATAGGCCTTGCATTACTAGTATCGATTTCATATTGTATTTCTTGATACTGGCCTAGTTTGTCTAATCCAGAAGCATATAAATTATAAAATTTTTTTAAGATACGTATAGCTTCTATCTGTTGTTCATTATTTAAGATTTTAATATTGACTAACCTATTAACTATCTTAGTAGGAAATAGTTTAGGTTCATTACTATTACTTGAGGTTGGAATTTTTTTTTCAATCATAGTCAGGTAAATAGCAGCACTGTGGACATCTTTCTATGAGTTGAGAAACAATTTCTTGTCATCAGTTTGGATACCATCAATATAGTAACTTTCAATTTCATCTAGATTGGTTTCACTTTCATAAGTATTGAAAAAGTTATCTTCATCACTATTATATGCTTCTTGAGAGATTTCTAATTTATCTTCATATATTTGAATAATAGAAATGTTGCTACTGTTTCCTATATATCTTAAGAGTAACTTTTGGTTATTGAAATAGATCTAGGCCCAGACTTTTTGGAACCAGTTAATGCCAAGAAGCATTGTTTGTTGGGGACTCAATAATCTAAAAACTGGTAGATACTAGTATGCTAACTATAGCTAATTTTACATCTTCTATTTTTCCTAGAGCCCTTTCTCGACTTTCATCAGCAGTTATAACAATGGCTATTGACAGTTCTTGAATAGTTAGTCTGATTTGTCTATTAATTTTTTGGACAAAATACTCACAATAGCCTCAGAGTTCAAAACTACTAAACTGGATTATTCTTAATTCGCATATAACATTTAGCAGCAGTGGTTCTAGAGCTCAGATTGGGGTTAGCTAGATTAGTTTTAGCAACTGGGGTTATTTTTGGTTAGTGCAATACTTGGGCAAGATTTTTATATTGCTTTGGTAATTGCAATATTTGGGTGTAGATGGTATTTGAATGTTGATTTAATAAGTCTTCAGCAATATTATATGGTGGTACTAAATTAATTGTAGAAGGTCCTCTAATATATCTAGGTCTCCTAACTACTTCTGGTTGAGGTTGGGCTAGAATTTGGGTCTGTTCTTGGATAATTTCATCTATAGGTAAAGTAAAGTTTGTTGGGCTTCCTGCTATTAGTCTAAGGCTACCTGTTTTCTTAATTGGTCTCCCTAATTAGGATCAGTTCTTCTTTCAGTCTTTTATGCTATTTTATAGCATAGAGTTGATAGTCAGGCTAAGAGGTGACTCTTATACCTTTTTTAGTTTTCTGAGTAAAAATATCATACAGGTTGACATTTAAACAGGGTGTATCTTCATTTTTGGTTATAGAGAATCTTCCAGGGTTTTGCTATTGTTTAGAGAGGCAATTTTAGGCAATATGACCTCTTTCACCACAATTATAGCACACAATACCCCTATTATTAGTTTGTCAAGGTTGGCAAGGTCTATTTGGGTTGTTTTGTGGTTAGACAGGGCAACTTTTAATTCTAGCAAGCAGGGTGGTAGTTAATCACTCACAATTTGTCACTATTTGCTATATTCGTTAAGTTAGATTATTATTCTTACTAACTTTATTTTTATAATAGATTTTAGCTTCAATTTTTCAGGCTTTCGTGATTATGTTATCTAACTTTTCAAAGTCTTCAAAAGATATTAGTGTAGCTATTTTTTCATAGAGGCCCCAAAACATTCTAACCATATATGTATTGGGCAACTTATGGTCTGGGTCTACTCTTCTCAGCAACCTCTCGAACTGGTAAGTATAACAATTGACCTTTTCATTTTCTTTTTGAACTAAAGTGTTCAATTTCAATTGCTACTGGTGTTTATGTTCAGGTGTTACAAAATATTTGGTGAAGGCTTGGACAAAGCTGTTATCAAAGGTAGCTTTATCATCCTATAGAAGAAGATCATTTTTGTGATCATTATACCAGCTAGCAGCAATTCCTGACAAGTGTTCTAACATGATTTTAATCTTTC